CGGATCTGCATGCAGAGATGTTAGCAGTACCTCAGCTCTCTCCCTTTTCCTCTTGCATCTCATGGTTTCTGGTTTTGAAGGTTTCACCATGATTTAAACACTGAGATGGGCTTGATCCACGATGAGGTGACCCGAGTCAGCTCAGGAGCAAGCCCAGGGCTCTGAGATAGAAAAAGGTTTCCACATGTTGCCCTGCATCAGCCAAGCTCTCTGTGCATCCTTACACCTGTCCTTACATCTGTTGAGTGGGTTTCTGCGCTTTCAGTGGGTTTCTGGAGAGACTTGCTGCACACAGAGGACACACGGCTGGCTGCAGCAGATCTGCTTGCTCTCCCACGGGCTTTGGTTTCAGACCTGTGCTTTCACGTGCTCTTGAAATGTGTAGTAGACCTTATTTGAAAAGTTGCTTATAAATCATTTTGTAAATGTAGTAAAGAATGAGACATAGGTCCCTCACAGGAGTTGCCTGGTTTCTGGCGGGCGGAAGGGACAGAACTTACCAATAAAATGAACCAAATGAAAGCCAGACAATATTACAGCTGCACAAAACCTACCACAGTGGCTAATGCTTATGCAGAGCAAAAGCAGAGTTGGGGTTTTTTTGCCAGGAATAGAGGGAAAGGATATTTTTTGTTTGACTGGGGAGAGGATTTGCCTTGTCTTCACTTCCTGGCCATGTCACTGTTTACTTTTGGGCTGCAGTTAGCAGGGGGAGCTCAGCACTGCTTCCTTGCTTCCACTGCAGCTACGCTGGCTGCCCCCTCCTCTCTTCTAGCCTCTGCTATGGGAAGGGCACCCTGATTTTTCCTCACACTGCTTCCAATTTTAGAAGACACTTCTCTCTCAAACCAGCAAATCAGAAATCGTATGCAATCATCCTCCTCCGTCTGCCACCACCCTAATCTGTAAACTCAGCACTGTGCTAACAGACAGGAGCCAATTACAGAGCTCTGTGTGTTGCCTTAATAATTAATGCTGTTGCAAGGGGGTGTAGGCTTATGCTAGCCTTTAATCTTTGATAGTAATGTAAATTAAGGTTTTTGGTGGAGATTTGTAGGAGCCATAGTAGCCTCTGTGTTCCTTGCTGCGGCACTGGGCATTGTCTTTGAAAAGAATCGGGAGCCGCAGGGTTCCTAGCCTCCCCTCCCAAGCAAAAGTTATTTTTAAAGCTATGCCAGACTTCACAGCTTCAGAGCTCTTTATTTTAACATGACAGACTGTTTTCTGTGCGTAGGACCTTTTCACATGCCATTAGTTATCCTGCAGAGGCACTGCTCTGCAAATAGCCATTCAAATGAAACGTGTTGTCTCCAAGCCTGTCAGGTTTATATTTGCACCTCGTCAAATGTAATTTTGCCTACTCTTCCTTCTCTTACTGTCTCCCCCTCCTTAGAAATGAGAAAAGAGTAACTCTTCTGTCTTCTGTCTGTTGGGAAGTAACATGGAGCAATACCAGCCCTTCCCAGTGAGCAGAATGAGGAACATCAGCATGACTTGTTTGTATAAGGATCTCAAATGGGCTTCATAGTCTTGGAGGGAGAAGCCACGTTGTGATCCATAATGCCCTAAAAGCTCAAAAATCAGGAATAAGTGTCAAGACTCCTCAGGTTGTTTTTTTTAATATTTAGTACATGATTATAACACTAAGGTTACAGGTTCGATCCCCGTCTGGTCCCCATGTGTTGCCTGATCTAGTTGAGAGGCGTCCTTGCCCATGACAGGGAGGCTGGATTTAATGATCTCTAAGGTCCCTTTCAGCCTAGGCCAGTCTATGAGTCTATGATTCTGTGATTACTGGCAGCAATTTGTGCATGATAGATTTAACAGTAGTGTCAGTCCAGCCAGCAGCTGCTGCTTCTCTTGTGGTAGGCCTCTGTCTAAGGATGATGGCACAAAATCTACAACAGCTCTACTAGGAGCTTATTCTGCACACCAGTGTACCCACTGCAAGCTGGTTTCCTCGCAGTTTGATAGCCTATTAGGAACACTTAAACTTTTAGAAGAGTATGTTATAAACTGATGCCTACTTTTTGTTCTGTGTTCGGCAGGTCCTCTGTAGTTGAAAAGAGAGGCATTAAACTGAAATGAGTGGCAACAGCCACATCAGATAAAACTCCACTCACTTTAATCAGGTTTTGCCAACTGCGGCTTATTTTGCTTAGAAAATGAAGCCTGGCTTCTGAGATCAATCACTAGCAACTGACTGGTGCAAACAGAAAATGCCAGACTCTGCTTCTGTAAGCCACTTTTAAGTTCACCATGGTGAATATCATTAAAGGAAAAGTGGGAGTCTTTTTCTCCCTTAAAAAAAGCAAACAAAAAATTAAATTGTCATGATAGAAAAAAAATACTACAAAGCATACACAGGCATAGAGATTCTAGCCAAGGAGAAGAAAAAAAAGATGCCGTTGCTCTTTGAAGTTGCTGTTTGCATTTGTACTGGCAGATTGCAGATGATTTCTGTGCTGTTTAAATGCAGCAGAAATGCTACACCCCGACTTTTGGTTATCAGCCTCGCTCATTAAGAACTTAGCACAGAAATTTTAATGCACTTTTGCATTTGGTCTTTGGACTTGAGATGCAGCAATAAATAGCCTTTC